GTTTTTACTTCACCAAACTGACTCCTGTAGACTGTCCAGTCCTCCCTGATTTTACTGGTTCACACATCTGGTCCCATGTTCCCATTTCCTCTCCTAAGCCAGGCCGTACACAGCTCAGCCAGGGATGCTGATGGATCTCCTGTTTGGTCTCTTCACCCTTGACCCCTCTCCTCCCTGTGGCTGGCATGTCCTTCCAGAGATGTGATGCAGTGGGTGGGAGAGAGCTGGGCTCCGGCACTAGACAAACCCGACTTTGAATCCCAGGTTCTTCAATCATCTATCTGCTTTGGTGATCTGGGGTTAACTCATTTCACCTCTCTAAGTCTGTTTCCTCATGTGAAAGGTGGAAATTGAGATAGCACCTGTATCAAAAAAGAAAAAGAAAGAAAGAAATTTCTCTTTTGATTAATTTAAAAGCATATGCTACATATAAGAATTTCCTAGGACTTCCCTGATGGTCCAGTGGCTAAGACTCTGAGTTCCCAATGCAGGGGGCCTGGATTCAATCCCTGGTCAGGAAGCTAGATTCCACATGCCACAACTAAGACCCAGCACAGCCAAATAAATAAATATTAAAAAAAAAAAAAAGAATTTCCTAATGTCTGAATATGTCATAAAAGTTCTTTTAAATAAATATTTTCTATGAAGGGAGTTGACTTTCCCCTGGTAGCTCAGTTGGTAAAAAATCTGCCTGCAATGAAGGAGACCCCGGTTCGATTCCTAGGTTGGGAAGATCTGCTGGAGAAGAGAGAGGCTACCAACTCAGTATTCTGACCTGGAGAATTCCATGGGCTGTATGGCCTCTATTCATGGAATTCTCCAGGCAAGAATACTGGAGTAGGTTGCCATTTCCTTCTCCAGGAGATCTTCCTGACCCTAAAAATAGATCTTATCTATTTTTAATAGAATTCCTGCTCCTCCTGTCCTGCCAGTTTTCCCATGGGAGTCTCCTTCCAAGGGGGACGTGTCCTTGCTCCTCTGCCTTCTTGCAGATGCTCATGGGGCTTTCCGTCTATACAAATACAGAGACTTTGTTTTGTAGAGTTCTTTAAAGTTTTTGTAGTTCTATCCCAGGCCAACCCAATTAATTTGCACAACTCTGAGAAACAATCCAGTCTAGTAATTATTATCTCTATTTTTAAAAGGTGAACTGAGGCTCTGAGAGATGGAATAACTGATTCATGGTCATGAATGGAGGCCTGGAGCCTTGGTCTTCTGCACTGTGGCCCTCCCCCCAAGCCATCCTGCCCATTTGTGACTGCCACTCACCTGAATTCCTTGTTATTTCTAACAGTGCAAATTGTCCCATGAGTGCCTGCTTTGTATCCCCAGGAAAGATGTAGTCTGCCCCCTTACCCTATCCTAGTGTCTCGCAAAATATCTATTATGTGGTTAATGTCATTCAAGGTTCTAAAATTTGAATAAATGTGGTATGTTGCAAGACCATTGCAGAAAACTAACAACTGTGTTGACTAGAAGGCTGAACTGATACCCTGACATTTTAATCAAGAGTAAGACATCCCATTCTTGAGGTACTTGTTTCTCTGTAAATGTGCGTTTAGACTTTGAATCCCTGAATTTGGAGTTAGCTTCTTCAGCTCCTGTGTTCCGTGTTCTTGTGTCTAGAGCTCTGACCATGCTTGATTGTAAGTAATCTGCTGATCCATCCATTTCCCCTCCCCCAGGCTGAGAGTCCCTCCAGGACAAGCACCACATCCAAGTTCTGTCAGTGCCCAGGGCCTGCCACAGTGCTTGGCACATAGGAAATGGAAGTTGAATGAATAAATCAGAAAAAGCCATCTGGTCCATCCCCTCATCCCCCTGTGACTGTGCTTGTTCCTATCCTCTTACCTTAGTTTGCATTATGTATTTCTTATCTCTTATATTGAATCAAAGGCAGGTTCATATTTTACTCATTTTTGTAGCCTCCCAAACAACCAGGGACCCACTCCAGTGTTCTTGCCTGGAGAATCCCAGGGACGGGGGAGCCTGGTGGGCTGCCGTCTATGGGGTCGCACAGAGTCGGACACAATTGAAGCGACTTAGCAGCAGCAGCAAACAACCAGGGAAGGAAGAAACCATCTTAATTGAGGGTCTATTGTGTGCCAATGATTGCACATATATTATGTCATTATGTTAAAAAATTGAATTTAATTCTTACAACAGGTCGATAAGGTAAGCATTATCATCCCTGAATTACAAAAGAATGAGCTACGAATCAGGGAAATAAAGTAATTGTAATTTGGCCAAGTTTACACAGGTAGTAAGTGTCAGTGCTGGAATTTGAATCCCTGTCTGCTGGCTCTGAGACCCAGGCCTTTCTTTTTTTATGTTGTTTGGTGTTTATTTTTTAACAGCCTGTAGAATAGCTGAATGCTTTAGCCCAGTAGGAGTTAGGAACTCTGCTGAACTGAGACTTGAATTTAATCACATTGAATCAAATCTGTGCAAGCCTGCTCCCCAATGCTTCCAGCACATATACTGCCACCTTAGTATTTGATTATTTGGATGAAATGGCTCAGGGAATAAGTGTTAAGCATTCACAGTGTATCAGGCTCAGGGCTGGGCACTTGGGGATACAATGCTGAAGACAGACTTCCTCAGGGAGCTTACAATCTAGTGGGAAAACACATACGTAGTGGGGATTGTAAATATGATCTGTGCTGATAGAACAAACTGGTAGTTACCAGTGGGGAAAAGGGAAGGGGAGGGGTAAGATAGGGATTAAGATATACAAAATAGGTAAGCAAGAAGTATCTATTGTACAGCACAGAAAAAAATAGCCATTATTTTTTAATAACTATGAAAACGTTGAATCAGTGTGTTGTATACCTGAAGCTAATATAATATTGTAAATCAACTATACTTCTATTTTTAAAAATGTGATCTGTGCTAAGGGGAGACAGAAGACAAAGGTTTAAGTCATTCTAGGGAGGTCTTGGGAGGTTTCCAGGTAAATCAGGAAATAGGAATGAGTGGGCGAGACAGGAGGAAAGCACAGAGGAACAGCATGTGCTAAGCCACTGAAGTATGAAATTACAGGTAGAATGGGTCTGGAACAAGGGGATATTTTGGTGAAACAGAACAGGGGAATAAGTGAGATACTGGAACTGCTCTCCCTGTGTTCATACCATGAACCAAACGTCATGACTGATTCTGACCCTTGCCCCTATACAAGCAGTGCTCTTAGCCTAGATGATAGCCAGAATATGCTTCCCAATCAGGAAGTAAATCAGAGAAATGGCTGGCAACACCTCCCTCTGTCTTCTCTAGGGATGTGATGGACAAACACAGTGTTTGCATTTCCCTGATGTAAGGGAAACAATGAGCCAGCAATTGAGAGACACACATGGTGATGTTGTCTGCCTGGATCATGTCATGTCTCAGCAGACCAGGCAGGTTGCTTTGGGCCCATGCTCTTGATGTGCCCCTGGACCAGAGGACCCTGGAGTAGCAGGTGGGAGATGTGAACAAGATCCAGGCCTGTTCAGAATCACTTTCTTGAGTAGTGGCAGATAGAGTAGAAAAGTCTGCCCACCCTGAGCCAGAGGGCTGGAAGCAGCAAACATCAGTTGGATCCAACTAGTTCAAGTTTCCCTCTTTGCTGTGCCCAAAAATATTCCTTAACTGGAGATTTTAAAAACCCAGCCAAAGAATAGCAGACAACTACATCAACATTATAATGAATTGTATGTAACAGGAATCAATAGGCGTGTGTGCGTGCGTGCATGCTAAGTCACTTCAGTCATGTCCAACTTTTTGTGACCCCATGGACTGCAGCCTGCCAGGCTCCTCTGTCCATGGAATTTGCCAGGCAAGAAGAACACTGGAGCAGGTTGCCATTTCATCCTCCAAGGGATCTTCCCGACCCACTGATTTAACCTGGGTCTCTGATGTCTCCTGCACTGGCAGACGGGTTCTTTACCACTAGTGCCACCTGGGAAGCCCAGTAATCAAGCTATATGTATTTATATTCATCATGTGCAAAAACAAATCCGGTATGGTGTTGGTGTTGACTTTTCTCTCCTCTCTTTCCTCCCCCTTGAGACTTTGAAAAATCCTCAGGCCAAGTTCTGCCTTGGTCCTGCCCTGACATTATTCTGTTCTCCTTCTGTGTCATCCATCACTTCCCTGCTACATCCCACTGCAGTCATTATCCTGGGTGATCCTCAGCAAACCACTCTGGACTAGTCATGTCCTTGTATCCAAACTGCCTCGCCCATCCTTTCAATCGCTAGCCTGCCTGCCCCTCACCTTGAAAGGTACATAAAAGCCAGCAAAAAACAGCAGTGCTTATTCCCAGGAATGAATGGTTAAGCCTAATTTCCCTTTATCTTTTGCTCAGTGCCCACTCCCCAGCTCCACACTCTAATTTTGCCCACACTGATGCATCCTTCACACTGCTGTCTGGATGAATTATCTAAAATTCAAATGTGATCATGTCATTCCCCTGCTCAGAACCCTTCTATGGTTTCAGACCCTTTAAAATGACATCTAAACTCCTGAAGCATTTAGAACAAGGCTCTCCATGGGCAGGCTCCTTCCTACTTCCCTGGCCTCATTTCCCAACTCTCCCCTTGACACCCTGTGACACAGCAATGCTAAATTACTTATGCCTCCCCAAACACACAATGTTACTTAATGTTTCTGAGTCTGCCAGAAATAGTCCTTCCTCTCTGTTCTGTCTTACAAATCTGCTCCGCATTTAAACCTTCTCTCAACTTTCTTCTTCTCTGAGATTCTTCCAGACAGGAGTCATCTTTCTGGGCCAGCTCTGTGTCTTATTTAGACATCTACCTGTTGCCCTGTCTGCATATGCCCAAGACTTACTTGCTCACAGGGTCTATCTTACTCATCCCAGAATAGCACAGGACCTAACACAGAGCAGGTACTTAGCCAACACAGCTTGGATCATTGTCCAGTTACACCTCCCCATCCTTGAAGGGACTTGTGTTTTAGCCACAGCACCACTGATACCTGCATCTGATTGGCTTTTCCAGGTCGGGCCAATCATTGGTCTGCAATCATTGGCGGATCCCACTCCAAGAATTACGTGCTATGGGAGTATGGAGGATATGCGAGTGAAGGCGTCAAACAGGTTGCAGAATTGGGCTCCCCAGTGAAAATGGAGGAGGAAATTCGACAACAGGTAAGAAAAATAATCCCAGAATGACTAAAACCCAGACATGCCGTCAAGCATCCTTTAGCTTTCTTTCCCAGGGACTCAAAACTTATAGGACAATGTGCTGGAAAATTGGTACTATAGGAAGTGAAATCTATTTGCTGAGTTTCAGAGTGCTTATGTTCAGTTGAAGACAGAGGCACAAATGTTCATCTTGTTGTCTCACATCTTCCCTGACTGCATTTGTGGTTTCTTGAGCTTGTGCTAAAAGCTGTTGCTGTGGCTGCATTGCTGGGATACCGCACCTTTGTTCTCCTGAGGGTCAGTGTGGTGGGTTACTTTGATTCTTGAGAGGGTCAGGAGAGTGACATTCACACGAAGCTAAAATCACCGTTTCCAAAGAGAAGCATTTGTTTTTCGACACATGTTTTTGCACCTATATCTTGAGGTGTTTGATAAACTGGTCAGTGATTAATCAAAATCATTATAAGCTGAAGCATCTTTAATGTATTGATACAGTGTACCATCTCTTGCGGGCCCAGGAGTCAAGTATTATCTAGGACCCCTTTCACACCAACAAAGGATAAGAGAGAAATAGTCTATCATTCTTTTGTATTTGTTGGGAAGTACCATCATCCATCATCAAAAGCACTAGAAAGAGGTTGATGAGGGACCTTGAAAGAAGAGCTGTGGTTTATTGAAGGCCACTCACAGGCTTCACCGTGGGGAGGAGACAGTCCAGCTTTGGCCATCTCTACCCACAAAAGCCCTTTGGGCCTCAGAGAGCTGGGTAGCGAACCACGTGTCACTGCTCATAAGTGTACAGGGGGAAGGAAGGAAAGAGCCAGCCACGCTGGGAATGTGGTCGTTTCCAGCACAGGCCACGGTGAGGCTGCTGCCCTGCTGGGCTCCTGCCCCACGTCTCCTGAGACAGTGCAGGGGGCCCTGTGTCTCACGGTGTGTGTGTGCAGCAGGGCAGGCAGAGCTGAGGCCCCCTGTCCTTCCCCCTGATGTCTGCCATCTGGACTCCAAACTCCCACAGACCCTAAACTGAATGCAGCAAAGGCCACCTGATTCCTGCTGTAATCCCCTGAGGAATTCTTTTGGCCCAGCGTCCAAAAACACCCAGGAATTAGCTTATGTTCCTCATTAATTTGATTTAAAGCCTTTCTCCATTTTCAGAAAAAATTGTTTAACCCAGCATTTCAAGATAGTGTGCTATTCATCACAAGTTTATCTTACCAATGACTTAGTGTTTCTCTGGCTCTGGCCGCCACACCTTGTCACTGGTATTGCTCATTTAGGCTACAGCACAGCCACGTTCATCTGCAAAGTCATGAAGGGCTCCATACTGGTCCTCATCTGTCCAGGCTATCATGGAGGGGAGATACCTTGTCTGGGCTCCTGATTCTCAAGCATGGAATTGTGATATATGGCCTGCCAAGTTCTGTTGTGTCATATGTTGAAAAACCATTTGTTATAAATAATAGCTGAAGCTAAAGTTAGCATATTAGTTAGATCAAGATCAAGGGCATCTTCCTAATAACGCCCGTGTGACTTGTTGGCTATCTTGAGGGGTTTCTGTAGAGAAGGGAAGCATGCAGGAATTCTGAGAAACTGAGACCTCATTGTACTGGAGAACACGATCAGTCATGTGTCATAACAGTAAGAAGTCTGACAATTGATGAATGGACCTCCCGCCTTCTGTCTCCTCTTAGGAAAATGTTCTTTGCTTGGTGTGTTCCTGACCAGCACACTTGGGATTAGCTTTTGTACACGCAGATAATGTCTGGTTCTCCCAGCTGGCTAGTGTTCCTGACATTAAGTCATAATAATATTTAATTATGGGTACTGCACATGAAAGTTAAAAATCCCACTGAGCACGTCCTAAGGTCTGTCAGGTTCCCTGGATGCTAACCATGTACTTTTAGCTCTCACCTCTAGTTGGAGAAGACAATATTAATTCCCAAGTTTTTCTGATAAGGATAACTGAGGCACAGTCAGTAGTTAGAGAATTCCAGAACTTGAACCCAAGTCCACCTGGCTCCAAAACCTATATTAGTACCAAATAAATAATTTGCAGGGCCCAGTGAAAATGAGAGGGTCTTTGTTCAAAACGTAAGAATTTTAAGATGGTGGCACTTGAATTTCACAGCACAGGACTGTAACAATCTGCACAGGTCACACACTCATGAGACTGGCCCTCTCTACCCACCTTCCTCGCCCCATAGAGAAACCCCCGCCTCCAGTCTCTGAAATAAGCCTATTTCCAGAGCTCTGCTCAGCAGTGCATCCAGCAGCCCAGCTCCTAGAAAAGTCAGACAGATAAAGTGATTTCAGGGTCCCTTCGCTTTCAAGCAACTCATGGTTCTAAATATTGTTCCCTGAAAGCACACCATTTATTCTTCTGTAAGCCAGGTAAGAAACAACATAAAAAAGGAACAAGAATATGAATCCTCCTAGAATATGAAAGTGTCCCCTGAATAACTGGGAACTTGTTTGAACACATCTACAAACTAACACAGTGTTCTCAGCCTTTAATACCTTATATCCTACCAACTGCTATATCAAAGAACCCGAGTCCAACCAGGATGAAAATAAAAAGGTCTCTTTTCCCAAGAAAGACGTTTATATGCTTCCTAGCATTCTCTTATTATAGACTTATCACTCGCTGCAAGTTTCAAGGGCATTAAAAATCACAGCAGATATTGTTGGAGGTAAATCTTATGCTAATGGCTTGCAAACACAAATGAACAAAAACAATAATTCCATTAGTAGTGGGAAACTGTAATAATATTATTGAGTATAAATTTTAACGTGCCTATAGCTACAAAACACCAAGAAAATTAATGAAAAATTGCAGCAGCATTATTGGCATTCATGACACTTGTAGCCAGAGAGAGTGGGGGAAGGGCTCAAGGCGCACTTCTTAGCAGGAGACAGAGGCAAATGGGTCCTGGTGGGGATGGTGGATTAGGAATACTGAGAGAAGCCTGGCCTGGCAGGTCACAGATGAATAACCTCAAGTCAGGTGGAGGCAGTAGGGAATGGTAGATCACACATGCAGGCAGACCCAGGACCCAAAAGTGAACTGATGAATATTCATCATTATGAAAATGGTACACTAAGACCATTTTTATTTTGTCAAGTATACATCTATGGCTCATGTACAAGGTGTGTGGGCCCAAAGATGGTGCCCCCTTCACCATGTTATTCATGCTAGAAACTTGGGCATCACCCTTGATTCTGCCCCCATCCCAACTTCTTCTGCCTTCTCTCCTAAATTCCTCCAGGTCACTTCCTCAGTACCACACCTCCATTTAAACCATCCTCATCTCTTGCCTTAATTATTGCACTAGCCGTCTGACCTCCCTGCCTCCAGCCTTCCTGTTATTCACACTGCACCCCAGCCATTTTATAAAATATCCATTGGATTTTGCCACTCTCCCAATTAGGATGTTTAATGGCTACTAACTGACCCCAGAAAAACGTCCAAACTCTTGATCATAGCTTAAAACCCTCCATGATCTGACCTTGTTTACCTCCCCCATCTTATTGCTTCCTGCAACTGTAAGCTGAACCAGTGCAAAACCTCTTTCATACTCTCCAAAAGCCATACCTCTCTTGCATCTGGGCCTTCTGTCAGTCTAGAACATCTTCCAGCTCCCTTTCAACTGGTGAGCTCATGTTTATACTTCAGAACTCAGCTTAAATGTTGCTCTTCCTGGAAGCCTTCCCAAATTCTATACAAAATCTGCCCCCTGGCCTTGTCCTCCCACAACACCAGGTACCTCCCCATCATTACCATCATCACATTTACTGCAAGTTCTTGTTTGATATCTCTCCTTCACTAAACTGAAAAGTTCAGAAATCCATGTTCTCCATCTCTGTATCCTCTGAGTGGGTATAGTGTTAATTGTTTCATAATTGTTTCCTGCATAGATTAATTCATTTGATAATTTTACTGAACACCTACTAAATAAATGCCAGGCATTGGAAATCCAGCAGCAATGAGATCATTCCCTACCTTCAGGGAATCTACATTCTAATGGAGGGAACAAGGAGGGGAAATGGTTAAATAATTATAAATTGAGGTAAGAAAAGAAACTAACAAGCAGTGGCATAAAAAAAAATAGTAAGAAGGAACCTTGTTAGTAAGGTGGTCAGGGAAGGTCTCTGTGAGGGGTGCCCATTAAGCTGAGACCCAAAAGAAAAGCATCAGGAAAACAGCACTCTGGATGGTGACAACAGCATGTGCAAAGACTCAGAAGTAGAAGAGAGCTTATTATACTGGAAGAACTGAGAGAATACTTGTGTGGCAAGAGAAGAATGAATGAGGGGAAGTGTGGCTCCATGTGCATTAAGGACACATTGTCTCCACGCTGGAGAGATTCAAAGATTGGGAGGGTGAGGTGGACATATAAATTACTATTTCCTTATAATGTACTTAGATTCTTTAGGGGGATCTCTGCAACAGCTGAGGAAATGCAGACATCAGACTGTGTAGCTGTTGAATGTGCCATTCTCTGGGTCCACTTTCCCTGCAGACGTGTTAGACACGTGTGTTTCCCAGCCCTTCCCTCTGGGCAGGCTGGGTCTGGCGCCCCTTCCTGGAGCGACTGCAGCTCCTGGTGCGGTCCTTCTCCTAGACAGAATGGTCCCTGCTTCGTTCCTTCTCCATCTCCCAATCATGTTCTGTGTCCCTGGAAGGTGGGCTCTTGTTGATTTTCCTCTCTGCTCTGTTGTTACTCATTCTATTGCTTCATTATGGTTTCTTTTATTCTCTTCCATTTTAAACATGTCTAATTGTCTTACTCAGATTATTCTGTTACCTCAGGGTCTTAGGGACGAATGTTGCCTTGAACTGAACTGGCCCACCCTCCTCATCGCTAGTGTCCTTGATTGACTTTGGATTGTTTGCTCATCATCAGTGGGTATTTTTCTTTGTTTCCTGTGAGAGTCCTCTATGCTCACGTTGTATTGTCTGCTCAAGGGGAGATTGTGTTTTTTGTCTTTCCACCCCGGTT